GGGAGGACGCTGGTAGTAGTCATAATGGTATTGTGAGAGTGCACCGGCTGGTTGCGCCATGGCTTGCCCGATGCGTTACACCACACGTTGTGCTTGCGTACAATTACCTGCGCCATAGGTTGAGCCGTAAGCTGCGCCATAGGATGCGCCCCCAGGGCGTGCCATAGCTTGCGCCATAGGTTGCGCACCCAGGGCGCCCCACAAATCGCGCCTTACGTTGCGCCATAGGTTGCGCCCTCAGGGCGTGCCATAGGTTGCGTCGACGGTTGCGCCACAGGTTGCGCCAAAGGCGGGGCCACATTGTGGCGCTGCGTTTCAACGGAACTCTTGGTGCGCGCAATGTTCTGGGAAACGTCGTGCTGGCAGGCGGGCGTCGGGACTCCGGGTGCAGCCCGCAGGATAATGACAACGGACGCGGCAGGGATGACGACGACCATTCTGTGGCACCTGTGGCGCGCCACACCGCCGATCAAGTGCTAAAGCGCAGTGCCCGTTGGCACTGCCCGCAAGATTTGGTGGCGAGCCGAGGGGGGAAATGACAGGGGGCGGGCCTTCTGAGGAGGCTCAGAAGGCCTCCGGCCTTCTGAGAAGATGTCCAAGCCTCCCACGAAGACACGGAGGGCTTCTCTGAAGGCCAGACGGCTTCTGAGAAGTCCCGCCGCCTTCTGAGAAGGCCGGCCCCCTCTCACTCCCCCCCTGGGCTCGGAGGGACCAGAGGAAGATGATCCCCCTATCCCCCTCCTCTTCCGATCCCCCTCCGATCCTCCCTCCTCCTCCTCCTCCTCCTCCTCCTCCTCCTCCTCCTCTTCTGCCCCCTCCTCCTCCTCATGCCCCTCCTCCGATCCCCCATCACCTCCTCCTCCGATCCTGTTCCAACCCTCCTCTTCCTCCTCCTCCTCCTCCTCCTCCTCCTCCTCATCCTCATCCCTCTGCCTCGCTCCCCCCTCCCCCCAGGAGGTGAGAGGAGCTGGAGGGCACGAGCACTGGAGGGAGTGCAGAAGCAAGGCAAAGGAGGTGGAGGGGCCAGGCCGGAACCCGTTGAAAGGTTCGCGCCAAGGGATGCGAACCTCGAACCTCGAGGATCGAGGCATCCTGGCCCTCGAGGGCCTTCGTCGTCGCCGCGGCTGGACGCGGCTCGGGAAACTGGTGCGTCTGAGCCCCAGTCGGGCCCCGTGGACCCATTTTGAGTTTGCGCCGAGGTTCGAACCTCGAACCTCGAACCTCGAACCTGAGCACACATGTGAGCGTCACAGCATGCCTGCCTGGACGGAGGGGGGGTCCGCACCCCCGTCCCCGTACGTTCGTTACCGTTACGGGGGGGTGGGGGGGGGGACCCCTCCCCGTAACGGGCGTTACGGGTCCGAGCAATAAAAAAACAAGCTCCTCCTGGACCGGAAAAAACGTCCATCGCGCGACTCTTCGAGTCTAAGCGCGCTTCCCATCATCCGCCAACGCCCGGCCAGGATGCGATCAGGAGCCCCATATAAAGGTTTTTCCTTAAGAAAAACGGTCCACGCTCCTCGTTCCTCGTTCGCGCTTCCCGTCATCCGCCGACGACCCCTTGGGGATCATCGGCGTGTGAGATGCTTCCCCATCCCCAAACCCCTTCCCCCGGAGCCCGGTCCGGTCGATTTGGAGGGGGGGGGCCGTCCGGCCCGAGCTCATCATGGTCCGGCCCTTCCCGGGCTCCTTTTGGAGGACCACGACCCCAAAAAACAAAGGGGTCGGCGGTGTGGCGTAAGCCTAAAGATCTTGTTTTATCATATAGTGTTCCCGGTTTTTTGGGGGAGGTGCGGCAGCTCGTGTCAGAGCACACCTCCGCACGCGGGATGGGATCTCCTGATTCGCTGCATGGTCTCTTGCTCGATCTCCTTCTTGCGCTTGGCGTCCACCTGCTTGCCCTGCGTATCCTCACGAGGAGGGCCACGACGGAGGGCCGCCCCCCTTGCACAGACGCCGCTTCACAGCACAACCCAAGGCCAAGAGCAGTTCATCCTTGCCCGCGGCCTCTGGAATCACCTCCCTGACCGAGCACAGACACTGGTCCTTCAGTTTCGGGTGCTTCATTGGGCAAGTGCTGAAGTGGTTGTGCCGTGTTCGTGGCAATGGTTCTGTATCCCGCTGGCCTGACACCCCGCTATTTGTATAAGGCAGTAAGACTGACGACAATGGTGAGGCTCTCTACCGCAGGCTATGTTCATGACGGCACTGAGGGAAAGGGTGGAGGCAGTGAAGAAAGCCCCGGAAGGATCATACCAAAGCGTGGAGCACGGTCCAGGGAGTGGTGATTCACCAATGAAGCGGGCAAGAGGACGAGGACAATCGCGGAATCTGGGAGCAGAGCAGCTGCCAGAACGACAGCGTCATCCGGACCGACAGGCTACAGTCCGCCAAAAACACACGACGCTAACATCATGGGCAGCATGCCCTCAACCCGTCTGTTTCTGAAGCGTAGCTGCCAGGCCCATCCCTTTACCAAGGTCTCGATCCGCTTGCACACAACAAGGCAATAGGCATCAACAAAAAACACGAGGCATGAAAGAAACGGCTCCTGAAACAAACCGGCCCTGGATGCTCCTGGACCCCTCGGCCTTCCCCTGGGACCAGGTCTCCATCCTGACCGTTTCGACGGCCCCGGGCCCGAGGAGGATCCCAGGCGCCCGAAAAGGACCGACAACTTCCAGGATCCCTTGTTGAAGGGGCCCTGGGACACACATAAAAGGATTCCCTACATTTTCGCATATTTTCTGGGTTTTTGTCTTCCCCCCCACTTCCCATATTTTCTATGTTTTCTGGGAAGTCGACGATTCATTGTGTCTGTGTGTGTTTTTCCCTCATGACTTCTACCAACCACCCCCTTCCTGCATTCGGATGACTCCCCTAACGGGGTCCGCGTAGATGGGGTCAGAGGATCGTGCCGCATCACCATTGCGTCGCCGATGCGTCGGCAATGCATCGACATTGTCGGCGTGGAGAAAATCAGGCTCCACGTCGAAGCGAATCGTCGATGCGTCGGTGATGCGGCACGATCTTCAGACCCCATCTGCTCGGACCCAGCTTGGGAGCCCTGGACCAGCACCAATGTCCTTCATGGCGGTGACAGCCGCCCTCGACCGTACGACACAACTGCAAGCGGGTGAATGCATCATGGAATCCTCGGCCTTGTCTATCTCGTTCTGCACGTCCACGTCAACCTCCAGGCTCGGACCCCCGCCCGTCCCCCGAGGCCTCCAACAGGGGGGTGCAAGGAGGGTGGAGGCCGGGGGGGAGGAAGATGCTGAGGATTAGGAAGGGAAAGACGAGCATGAAGAGAAGGAAAACGATACGGGAGGGAAAGGAGGGGGAGAGGAG